GCTAAAGTTTTCTGGCTGGACGTAACAATCTGAAAGAAATAAAATTGTCTAAACAGCAGTACGAAATCCGCTTGTCTCATTTCATTCCAGAAATTTACTAAAAACGTAGTATTATCTGCTTCTGGCAGTATCTTACGGGGCGTTTTCTTCATTAAATTATACTGATAGTAACAACCCTGTACTTTGTTCGCTCATTGTACCTGTTAAACTCACACTAGATGATCTGTTCCAGCCTTCGGTGCTGTTAGCCTCGCACCAGTACTTGCCTTGGTCGTTCAGGCGAACGGAGTCTAAAGCTAGTATGGAGTGACCTCTAACTTGCTTCACAGAAAAGCTTGGCATGCGATGACCATCCTTAAACCAGGTGATGACTGGGCGGGGGATTCCTGACGCATGACAACTTAGGTTCGCTTTACTTCCCGCGGAAAAGTATCTCTGACTTGGAAGATCGACATTGAAAAGTGGTGGTAATGGGTCTGCAGTAGAAATAGTTTCGACTGTTAATGCAACTTAATTAAGATCAAATCACGTATAAACTAAATCAGAGGGGATTTAACATTCAAAATGCACTTTTTCAAGCTTAATGACCCCAAATTAATCAAGACGTTTTAACCTCGTGCTTTTTAATTAGGAACTTAAGCATCGACGATCGAGAGAGGACGACGACGATTATGACGACCGGAAGTCAGTTCATAACACTTTCAAGGAACTGAGCATGTTCGTCTCTGTCAGTTCGTCGTCACGCAGTCGTCGACGACGGACTTAATAGTGATTTGCTGTTTAGCTGAAAACGGAAGTAGTTTTACCTGTTTAATCAGCACACTAATGGCTAATACTTTGTTAATCGTTGAATTATTAGAACGCCATTATAACAACAACAGATCACGGGGTAGTGTCACGACTTACCTTTAAATTTCAATGTGAGTTTATCCTTTGTGCATCTCATGCTATTCTCTGACACGCATTCATATTTACCGGAATCGCTCTTCCTGGCATTTTGAATGAAAAGCTTACATACCAGTGATTCTCCGCTGCCATCGCAATCCTTTATATAGTCATCGTAGTTCTCGTTGTAATAGTATTGGATCGTATAAGGTTGAGCAGCCTGAAGACTTCCCTCCTTTGAAGAGTTACTGGTGCAAATGATTGTTATGTCGTAGCCAATTGGGAGAACGTCCTCACCCGGAAATTCCAAAATGTTTAGCGACATAGAAGGAGCTTTAGGATCTGGTAGAGATTTTATTCTCAGTTAATCAAATTTTTGCTTTACAGCCTTGAAATAAATAGAACTTTCTTAAACTCGATGCAAACTGCATAAGGGTCAGTTTCTAAAGTAAGGAGTCGTTAAATCCTGTATTTCGCAAGGTTTGCTTATTGAAGCCTTTTTGTGCCTTTTTACTAACCTAAGGTAAAGTCTGCATACGAGCCAAATGACCCATTATGCCGGAGCTTATCCCGGTGTTTGTAGCATAAAGCGACTAGGAATGTTCTAATCTCCCCTCGATGAGATGCTAGTCCATCCCAGGGTTATCCCCAGCCGTTAGCCAATAGTACACCTGGGTGGAGAGAGGCACTGTGAGAGAAGAGTGTCTGCCCAGGAACAGAGCACGATGTCCCCGGCCAGGGCTCGAACTCGGACCACCCGATCCCGAGTCCGGAGTCGGGCGTACTAACCATGAGGCCACCACCATGAGACCTAACTGACTTAGAAATACACTGGCAAAGAAACCAAACTACCTTGTTACTCTCTTTTCAG